AACAGAACCTTTAGAGGATACGGTAATCGCATCCCTCAGAGCAGAGGACGAGGTTGAAGAAAGTTTGGCGAACGCAATTCGAGAATTACCAGTATCGCTTAAGGACATCAAAAAAGAGGCAGAAAAGGACAAATATATTTTGGAAATAAAAGATAAGCTAGCTAAAAAAGACGAAAAAATTCAAGAGACATTCTCTCTGTGTGATAATGTGCTAATATACAGTGAAAGGGTAGTAATCCCTAGTACACTCCAAAAAAGAATATTGAAAGATTTTCATGCTGGTCACCCGGGCATAAATAGAATGAAGAGCCTCATGAGAGCATGCGTCTACTGGCCAGGTATGGACAACGACATCGCGTCTATGGTCGGCAGATGTAAAGGCTGCATTTTGGCATCAAAATCACCACAAATTCTACAGAAGCCATGGCCAAAACCCGACAGGCCATGGTCAAGGCTTCATATTGACGGGCGGCATTATTTGGTCGTAGTCGACAGCTTTAGTAAATGGCCCGAAGTTTTCCAAATGAAGAGGCCAACATCACAAAATACAATAAATAAATTGCATGAATTATTTGCAAGGTTTGGAGTGGTAGATACTGTGATTAGCGACAACGGTACTCAATTCATGAGCAAAGAATTCGCAGAATTCTGCCAGAATTTTCAAGTGGATCACGTGAGGATTCCTCCGTATCACCCACGAAGCAACGGACTAGCCGAAAGGTTTGTCGATACGTTAAAAAGTGCTCTGAGAAAAGCAACAGGTACCCCGACTAGAAAGGCGTTACAGCTATTCCTGCAAGTATACCGCATTACTCCGAATAAATCAGCCCCATCAAGCGTATCACCTGCGGAGCTAATGTTTGCAAGGAAGATCAGATCTGCATTTGATGAATTGATACCTGAAAATAGGATACACACACCAGTCGCTATGGTTCCTAAGCGAAAATTCCACATAAATGAAAATGTTTTTTTCAAGAATTATAAAAATAATTCGACATCGTGGGAACCAGGAATCATACAAAAGCGGATTGGGAATATGGTGTACATTGTAAAAGGGAAAAAATTTACCCATAAAAGGCACATCAACCAGCTAACGAAAAGGAGTACCAAAGAATCGGAAGAAGCTCCGCAAGAAGATGAATTATACGAATTATATGATTCTTTTGATTTACAAGTACCACAGACAGAACAAAAACAGCGCAGATCTGGTAGAAAGCGAAAAGCGACGCAACAATTTATAATGGACCCGAAAAGGAAAAAGTATTGAAAAAAAAAATTTTTTTTTGCTAGAGAGATCAGGGGAGATCACGAGCTCAGGAGATCAGGTGATCATTGCATTTCCGTCTCTCGACCGGAAGTTACCGTTGGACTGTAGACTCTTGCTGATTGTTATTACTAACCTGCGTTCCTTATTACTAATCACTCTGTTGTTAAATACCTCTTCAAATATACCAGTATTTATACCTACAACTGTGTTTGTCTTTATTCGAATACACACACGCAGGAACACTCCCAACATCTCAACAGTAGGTAGACTCCATAAGTTTTTTTTTTAAATCATTTCACCCCAAGGAATGCAATAAAGTCCCTAAGACGAAAGGTTTTACTGGCGGTTCGTGAAACTGAGAAAGAAATAAACATTATGAAGGAAAGAAAACAATAAAAAACAAGAATTAAGAAGACAAAAGATAACGATTGACATTAGATTTAATTTTTTGAAGAACAAAGTTGGTCGGGAAGTAAGAAGCTGGAAGAGAGTTCCACATACGATAAGTGCGAGAGAAGAAACTGTTGGCATAGAACTTGTGGTTATATCTAGCCTTTTCGATGCAAAATGACGAGACGCTGTTGCCAGTCTAGCACTTTAGTTTAATCACTCATGCGTTTTGCACAATAAAATCTTACATTTTCTATTCACCCTTTTTTTTAATTCAAATATAGATAAAATATTCGTTGAACTGCTTGTTGGCAGAGATATTTGAGTATTAGCAAGTGTCTATGTCCGGTTACAAATCCAGCATTTTGAGAAGCAGTCTTTTCTGATTTGGGAATTGGTGAGTTTTCAAACATATATGAATATAAATATGCCTTTCCATGAACAACGTCTTTTCGCATTGGTCTACTTCCGCCTGTTCTTATCCATCGATTTCTGGCACTCCACAGTGTCAGAGATAAATGCATATTTTTCGCTGGTGGTCAGAGTGTGAATTCCCGGAAATTCGTATATTAATTTGCAACGCATGCGCAGTCACGTTCCTCCCATTGTGAAGATTTGCATAACTCAGCCATCTTTATTCTGTCTTTATTCTTTTTGGTCCTCTGATATAATAAGCTAAGCATACTACATATCTGACACATTCGAATTGATTTTTCAAATACAGTAGAATCCTTCATATCAGAATCTCTCATATCCGAAGTGACTCCTATCCGGAATCCAGCATATCCGGACATGATTTTGATGTGTATATTTGAACTATTTGGGTAATATGTATCTGATACGAAATTTCTGTTTTTCAGGAAATTTTCTTTTGATAATTGCTTATGCTTATTTCACCCTAATGGCTTGTATTGGTGCAAAAGATGATGGAAATAAGAGGAAAAGAACAACTTTGGAGTTATCGCAAAAAGAGGAAATTTTAAATAGACGCTGGGAAAGTTCATTGTACCTTTGGTTGAGTTCAACATAAGAACGTCAACATTGTATGATATAAAATCTTCCAAAGAAACTATTCTCCAATGTTCACACTCTTACAATGAACAATGAAAAAAAACAAAACATGATTGTTATGAAACCTGGACTGAAATTGAAAAAAGCTATTGAAAAGGTTGTCAGTTTATGGAAAGAAAGCCAGCATACAGTTATGACGATTGCCATAACGCACGCAGAGTTAAAATGTGTCTTTCGTTTAAAAGATTTTAAGAACAAAAACAAAACAAAAAAAGTTGAGGATGACATTAGAAGAGAAAGAATCATCATGCAACAGCGATTAAAAAATCCTCGTAACATTATTTATTTTGCATACGTGGCATACTTAATTTAATGAATTTTCCTTAACATTACATAACTTATTTCTTTTTCCTTAAAATCAATTCCGTTATATTTCACTCACCATTATCTTATTTTGTTTACTATAAAACATTGAAAATAAATGTTAAACCTGATTTCAGTTCTTTTATTTTAATCTAAATATAACCCCTCATATCCGGACTTTGTAACCACTTCCTCATAACAGGAGGGCCTTCTTAGTCCGATCGTCAGGGGTTCTAAAGTAGTAGTATAGTTGTAATAGTGGTAGTAAATGTAATGGTTTCCATCATAAAGCACAGATTCATGGGGCTCCCCACACTAGGCGTCAATGTTGTTGTTTCTGTAGCAAGTTGGGTTTTATCGCAGAGGGGTTGCCAATCCCGACGCTCAGCCGGTTTTAAATTCCGATGTCCTTTTCTTAGATTGCTTGTCAAGCAAAGCTAGAGGGCCTAGTCTGCCTTGTTATTATCCCCTAGCTGAAAGCAAAATTACCATAATTTCCAGAATGCTGCTAAAAACTGAATCTGAGCAATTTGGGCTAGGCGACATGGTACACACACACACACAAACATTTATGTATATATATATATATATATATATATATATATATATATATATATATATAAAATATATGTATGTTTTTTTTCAAAGCGACTGCATTGTGCACTTTATTATACGATCGGTTTTTGGTACGGTAGTTTTCCCAGTTTTTAACATATTTTGCTTTCTTCTTGCCGAATCGGGCTTGAAACTGGATTTTAGTCTAGCGTAAATTCCACCGGAGCCAGCTATCAATCTCCGATCCCAGAAAAAAAAAGGTTAAAAGAGTCTAGTGAGACTTTATTCAGTATTTTCAAAACTAAGAAAACTCCTCTTATTTCGGATACTGGCGCAGAACGGTCTTCCACATCCCGCTATTGTCCTCATCTTTTTTGTTGTTATCACAACATTTCGGTCGTTGTGCCCTCCGGCCTTCCTCAGGTGTATATCGATCCTAATAACCCACAGGAAATTTCGACATAGTAAACCGAGATTAAAGAAAGGGTTCAATGTCATGTAGATTACCTGGATCGATATACAAATGTTGAAGGCCCCGCCGGAAGACACCACGGTCGAAACATTGTGAGAAAGGTGAGAACAATCGTCTTAAATTCAGACACTAAACTCAGTAAATATCTATGAGATAGAGCAATATTTCTTTGTGTTAGTCATTTATCCTTTAAATGAATGCATTCTTCCTGTCGGCTAAATAAGGTAAGTCCAATTTTGAAAATGTCTTTAATTTCTAACAGTTCGCAGCAAGATCGGCAGTTATTTCCAGGAATATTGACATCTTCTTTACTTCAAGTCGTGTCATTTCTCTCATGATGTCTTTGTTTGATTTGCGACGAAGCCAAAATGGTTCCTAGAAGATTTCCAAGACAGCGGAGACCATTTTTAGAAAACATGTCAGAGAAGAGCAACAAGAGACGTTTGTCAGGGCTGAGAAAAAATGTCAGAAAGTGACGGTCACGAGTCAGACATGCTGGGGTAAATATAAATAAGGTTCATTGACACTTTTACGAGAAATAGCGAGTAGATGCTAGAAACGTTCCACCTTGGCCAGTTTTCTTTGTAAAGGAAAGCAGTACATGCATAGGTGTGTTGAAGCTAGCAAATTACACTGTTGAAAGAAAAAGACAAAGATAAAAATGATGAATATATTTAAAAGATAAGATAAATAGATAAAAGAAATGAAAAAAAGAACAGACTGATATATATATATATATATATATATATATATATATATATATATATATATATATATATAGACTGCAATAAAGAAAGACCGAGAAATAGATAAAAATAGAAAAAATCGACTGAGATAGATAAATAGATAGAAAGATAGAGAGAGAGAGAGAGAGAGAGAGGGGGGGCTGCAGTAAAGAAAAAAAAGAAAGACCGAAATAGATAATTAGATAGATAGATTGAGTTAGAGAGGGAGAAAGAGAAATATAGAGATAGATAGATAGATAGAAAGAGAGAGAGATAGAAATAGATTGCAAAAAAAAGAATGAACTATGCAACGTCGAAGTGACCAATTAAGGGCAGATTGAGATAAATAGATAGATAGATAGATAGATAGACAGACAGAGAGATAGAAAAAGAATGAGATAGATAGATAGATATATAGATAGACAGACAGACAGAAAAAGAATGAGATAGATAGATAGATAGATAGATAGATAGATAGATAGATAGAAAGAAAGAAAAAAAAGAATGAGATAGATAGATAGATAGATAGATAGATAGATAGATAGATAAAGTTAGAAATACAGAGACAGATAGATAGGTACTTTGGTGAATATCATCAGTTGATTTTAGTAACATCAAATAATTATAGAAATAGACCCACATTCGTTCAAGTTATTTGCTGAAATAGTCAAAAAAAATTAACAAACTTAACCTCATTTATTTTATGTCTGATCAGTACGCGACAATTCCTTTTTATAGTTATTCTAGTTTCCTTGTTGTACAAATGTGATGAGTCCTACACGATTGGTTGATGGCACTGAAACTCCTAGCCGCTAAGGATCCAGGCAGCCTGGGCTGTATAGCTATTTAGAAGGGTCGCTCTAAATGCAAAACAAGAGTTAGCGTGTAAATATCTTCTCACCACAGCAACGCCTAGTGTGATGTGACCGTGGCCATGTGCATAACAGGGATGTCTTGTAAGCAAACGTTTGTCGTTAAGATACCTCGATAAACTCAAATCAAGGGGATGCTGTGAACATAACTGTCCCTCTGGCAATGCTTCGTTTTATAATGCTTTGACAAGAGTGGAAATATGAAGGTATTTTATTTTATGACAAATGAAACATTTGCATCTCCTCAAACAGAAGTTTGAAATAAGTATTTGAATATTTAAACAGGGTCTGTAAAAGTGATACGGGTAAATCATCTAGGTTTATTACAAGTGGGAAATCAAACCGATACCCGTAATAAGGTGAACTATTACGTTTCGCCGCGAACCAGCGCGATTCCATTTTATTAACATCATGGCTGGCCGATAACATGTTGTTCATTCCGTTCAACCCCAGTTGTACATATTTCATAGCGAGTAACCTGAGTTACTTTCGTATATATCGACATGTTAAAGTTACTCCTTACAATCTGACAAATGCTCGGTTGGAATGTTTAAAAGTTAATTACAGCCTGCGAATGAGAGCCTCTTATCTAGACAACCGAGATGAAAGAAATTATTTCTGGGACATCGACGCATTAGCGGTATATGGAAGCTTGTAAGAAGCAAATTTGTCACTGACATTTGATGTTAGCGTTCTGCACAATCCAGAAATATTAGTGTGGATCAAAAGTATTTGGCTTTTTTTTCTAATGACTACAGAGCTGGCATATTTTCTGAAGTGCTTTTTATGCTTGATATATAGTATCTTTTAGATTATCTTTTTTCTGGACATTTTTCAGTCCACTCACTTCGACTTCGTGTATTAAGGGCACCAGAAGATAATACTAAGAGGATATTTCTGAGACAACTGGTGCTGTTAATATGAGACAAGTCGCAAGCCTTAAAACTTTAAGAGCATATTTCTTTAATACGTTTAGATATTGTTTAATTTCCTTCCACCTCCTGTTTAGTATAACGCTTCAAACTTACCATAATTTCCAGAATGCTCCTCAAACTGAATCTGAGCAATTTGGGCTAGACGACATGGTACATTATCCTGCTAAAATCCTTAATTTTCGAGAGTATGAAGAGTCCATGAATGTACGCAAATTTTAACAAACCGTGTTATGTAGTTGTTACAATCTGTGGTCAATCCAAGAATTAAAACTGAACAGATATTACCCTAACTATATATATATATATATATATATATATATATATATATATATATATATATATATATAAGCTTTTTTTCGAAGCGACTGCATTGGGTTGAAGGTTTATTTTAACCGTTTTGGGTCCCAAGTTTTCCAGGCTTTTTTAAACATATTTTATGATATATATATATATATATATATATATATATATATATATATATATATATATATATATATATGAGTGATAGAAATTAGAGGATTTAGATAATTATAATTAATTAGACTCGATGAATTACTTAATTATATATATATATATATATATATATATATATATATGAGTTATTTCTAAAGAAAGATTGAGGCCAATCTGAAATATCAAATATATATATAAATAAATAAATACTTTCATAAAAACATTATTATTTTTTATTTGCAACTTTCTCTCTCTCTCTCTCTCTCTCTATATATATATATATATATATATATATATATATATATATATATATATATATACTTTGTCTGAGGAGACCTTTTCTTCGAAACCCGGGTTTGAGGTAGGATGCATTTTAGACATTTCTTAAATATCTTTTGGTCGACTTTGAATTTTATATTGAGCACTTTTTTGTTGTCTATACTTTTTAGGCGCGGCTGTTATCGTTTTATATTTTTAATCTGTATATATATATATATATATATATATATATATATATATATATATATATAAAATAAAAAGATACTTTTTTAAGGTGAGTTATGGATTAATGTGCTCAATATCAGAGATCGAACGGATGTTTGTTTTTGACCAGCTATAAAATTTTAAAATAAAATACATTTCTGAAGAGCATTATTACCCGCAATATATTTTTTGAAATAATATTACTAACAATAAGTATGTTGTCGGCATTAAATAACCCATTAAGGTTGATATGCCGTAAGCCAAATCAATTTTTATTCATTAAACATACGCATTTCTTTTATCGACCTTCCTATCCGAGAAATACTCGTAAAAAACAGCGTTATTCGGCAGAGATGGAACTTGCGTCGTTCTTTTTATGGAAGCCTATAGGTTCGACTTTAGTGTGCTTTACCACACGGCCACAGAAAACGACACAATTACCCACTTGTGATTAGGAGTATAAGGGTTCTTTTTCATTTCCGTTTCCTCTAAAACTTTTTTTTTGTTCATGGTATTATTAGAAACTATCTTTATAACCACGTCCTTGTTGTCGAAATTGTCCACTTCATCATTCGCTGTCATGAGAGAATTAATATATACATAGTCAATCCTTGGTATAACGATAAACTACATCCGGCAACAAGGCCCTTGATTGGGATTTTGGGTTTTTTTCAGGAGCGTGGAACCCCCTTTTAGTTGCTGTTGTTCCCAGGTTCACAATGACTTAGAGTGGTAACACCTGTTAGGGTGCAAGCTATGGATAAATAGTGAAACTCCAAACTAAAGATAAAACACTAGGAAAATATTAGAATTCATTTTCATAGTAAAATACCAGCAATATATGTTTATAAAAATGATCAACAATACACATTTATATTAAAATAACCAGCAAAACATTTTATTTGTATTCGATGGCATACACTGCGTTCAAAATGTATTTAGTTGAATCCATAAATTTTAAAAAAAATATTTAGATTTCGGTATTAAATAATCCAAAGAGGTTGATATGCCTCTAAACAACATGAAAAACTCTTTCATTAATCCATATAGTATCATTGACATTAATCCATATAATATCGTTGACATTAATCCATATAATATCTTTGACATTAATCCATATAATAACGTTGACATTAATCCATATAATATGGTTGACATTAATCCTTATACTATCGTTGACATTAATTCATATAATATCGTTGACATTAATCCATATAGTATCGTTGACATTAATCCATATAGTATCGTTGACATTAATCCATATAATATCGTTGACATCAATCCATAAAATATATTTGTCATTAATCCATATAATATCGTTGAAATTAATCCATATAATGTCGTTGACATTAATCCAAATAGTATCGTTGACATTAATCCATATATCCTACAATTTTGTAAAGGAATCAAACTGTATTCCAAAATATAACTTCAACAAAACTACAGCATAAAACACGCATATCACCGCCTCTATTAATTATGTTCACAGAAACATGTATATGTACAAAAGCTCAGTATCATCTACCATGTATTCAATTGTGAAAGCAGAATAACATATATTTTTATCAATTCAAGGCTCCAAAGAAAATGGAATTTCGACATGAAAAAAGAAAAAGAGTTGATTTACCGTTTAATAAAACAAATCAATCAATCAATGTTATATAGGAGTTCAATAGGCTTTACTTTTTCTTTTTTCTTTTTGTACGTTACGGCCATATCGCATAGAAACACTGGTCATCATAGGATCACTGAAGTTAAGCAACGTCGAGCTTGGTCACTACCTAGATTGGTTCACCGATTGCGAATACTAGGTGCTGCAAATTTGGTTGTGCGAGTGGTTTAATGAACAATGTCTTGGAATTGAAAAATGGAGAGCCGAGTTATTGCACATCCGCAGTTTATTTAAAGAGAAACTATACGAAGAATTATAATGTTCGAGTACTTTCGGTCATCTGTAATATTTGTCACGAATATTAATGCTATCAGAAGAAAAGTCATTTTTCTGGATTCATTAAGGCATTTTTAAGAGTACAATCATTCGAATCTAAATATATGTACATGGTAAACAAGTGACGTCATGTATAAAAATGTTTTTTATTTTTTTATTTAAGTTAATCCGTTAGAGTCACGAAACTAAAAAGTGCCTAAAGACAAGGATATTATTTAATTTTGAAAGTTTGGTGCCGACTTATAGGAAAAACAAGAAAATGCAATAATGAATTTCAAGGACAGATTTTAGCCTTTTGAAAAAGTATATATATATATATATATATATATATATATATATATATAAAAAAGTTTCAAATTAAAATTATAATGTTTTATTTTATGAAAGTATTTATTTATTTATAATATTTATTTATATAAATAAATAAATACTTTCATAAAATAAAAATATTATAATTTTTAATTTGAAACTTTTTCTATATATACATATTAAGAAAGTATACGTGGCTTCTCATTATGCTATATATATATATATATATATATATATATAGTGGTTTTCCAAGCGTATCTTAGATATGGCACAAGGCCAAAAGTAGGAAGCACCAAGTGAGGATCGAACTCACTACTCAGTCGTAATTGTTCTAGCGAGACATATATATATATATATATATAGAGAGAGAGAGAGAGAGAGACAGAGACAGAGACAGACAGATAGATAGATAGATAGATTGATTGCAATAAAGAAAGAAAAAAGAATTACTTTCTTATTTTTGCTCATTTTAATTTATTACTCGCTGATTCTTATTCTTTGTACCAGAGATTTATGGTAATGGAAGATTTTTTAGCCTTTTGGCAATTTCTGGTGATTTCTTTTTCCATTTTCCTCGGAT